CCCTATGCTGTGCCCCAGACCTACTGCTCAGAAACTCTGGACTGGGGTCACTGCTCTGATTAAACCTTCCAGGGGGTTCTGATGCCTGCCACAGTTTAGGACCTTTCTTAGTGAAAAAAGGTGAAGTGGGCTTTCTGTGCATACCATGGCAATGGCACATCCTGACCTTAAGGGTCTTTTTCTGTCCTGCCCTCCAACTACAGAGTCAGGTGGTGGTCCCCCTCACTGGAGCAAGCTTCCAGAAGGGGCCCAGAGGGAGATGCTATTGATCTTCAGATAGTTGGCACACTGCCACCTTCTAGCTCTCAGACCATCCTTCTCTCAATTCCTCGTAGAGGGTTTCTCCCACAGCAGCGATGCCATAACCAATGAGGAACTTCAGAGTATCTCTGAGATGATCTACAAGGTAGATAACAACAAAGCCCGCAAGGAAGACATTGTCCTCAACAGTCAAAACCGCGTCTCCCCATCAGAGACAGGAAACCAAGTGGATCGCTGCCCAGAGCCGTGAGTGCCCCTCATTCCTTCCAGCCCTTCATCCTATCTTCTCAACTATCCTCACATCTTTGATGCCTCAGATCTTGCTCCTCAAGTCAAGCAAGCTCAAGAGAGAGGGGAACAAAATTAATGCCCAAAGAAATCACCTTGAGGGTCGATATGTGTAGAGCCAGGAGGTTTCTGTTGCTGCCTAAGCTAAGGATAATGCTGTTCTTCAAGAGGGGAGGTAGAAGCAGACAGACCCCAGAGTTGGCTTTCAAAAGCACCACAAGTTGCCTTTGCTCCTGAACCCTGAGCCCATCTCTATGTGCTGCCCCTGGCCTGTCTGGAAGGTTCTGGGAGAGTTTCTACTGCATGTTCAGGCCTCCTAATGGGTCTCCATCCACTTGCTGCAGGCTCTTCACTTATGTCAACGAGCAGCTGTTCTCCAAGCCTACCTATGCAGCTTTTATCAACCTACTCAATAATTACCAGCGGGCCACAGGCCATGGGGAGCACTTCAGTGCCCAACAGCTGGAGGAGCAGGCTGTCTTCCTCAGGGAGGTCATGAAGACAGCTGTCATGAAGGAGCTCTATGGCTTTCTCCATCATCAAAGTGAGTGAGCCTTCCTGAATGCACAAAGCTGTGTGAAGAGGTGTGTCTCCAGGAGAGCCAGACACTGCTGAGGTCTCTGGTGGTGGCAGTGGAGATGGTGATGGTGGTGGGTGTGAGAGCAGGTAGGAGCAGGGACACTGTATGAAGTCCAGTAACAGTCAGAAGGGGTCAAAGACGAGGCTAGAAGGAAGCTACAGAGGTTGGAGACCCTAGCAGGAACTGAATGACCTTCTGGCTGGCTTGCTTGCTTAGATCATCCATCTTTTGGCTGTCAGTTATCTTATGAGTTTACTACCTTCTGAAGGGAATGAGCCCCACACCCCATCTCTATTCCCACTTTGGGCACTTTTTAGCCCCCTCAGGGATCCCAGGAGTCATGTCAGAAGCCGTACATTTGGGTAAGTGGAGTTCTCTACGCCTCCTACTCAGCACAGATGACAGCAGAGAATCAGTACGGGCTTGTGGAGCATCATTCTGTTAGGAAGTGGTCTGGCTGGACCAACTCCAGACACAGATACATGCAAATCAGACCAAAAAAGGTTTTGGCTTCAGGACTTCTTGGCTCTGGGTTCTGTTTGTTAGTGTCCTCCAGATTCCTTTCCTGAACTCTGGCAAGCTGGACTCGGTTTCAGGGGCAGATCTGTATAGGTCTCCCATTCTGTCCCGGGGGCCTGCACCCAGGCAGACCTGCTACTTTCGGCCTGCAACCTTAGACAACAGAGTTACTAACTCTGTTGTTAAGAGGAGGGAGTGTCTGAGAGTCATGCAATCCTGTGATGCCCTCTGGTGTCTGCTCTGTAGTAAACACACAAGACACAGGCGTGCCAGTAGTTCTCAGCCTTCCTGATGCTGCGACCCTTTAATATAGTTTCTCATGTGGTGGTGACCCCCCCCAACCATAGAATTATGGTAATTTTGCTACTATTATGAACCATAATGTAAATATTTTTGGAGATAGAGGTTTGTCAGAGGAGGTGCCACCCACAGGATGAGAACCACTGGACTAAACCATTAGTTTTTTTTCAGCAAGAGAGCTAGAGGTCTAGCTAGGCTAGAAGACCTAAGTGAGCAAGGAGCCAGAAGCAGCCATCCAGTACCCAGAGCAGGGTTCCCAGCACTCATCCCCTCCTTCACCCCAGATCCCACTAGCCTGCTCCATTTATAAAGTCCCCAGTGGCTCATGCTGAATCTCTTCAGAGTTTGAGACATCAGAATATAGCCCAAAATAGCTCAGCCAGACAGACTTGGTTTGACCCCTGATTCTGTTACCACTGGTGTGATTCCGAGGTTATAGTTTAAGGGCATCTCCCAGATTTCACACATTAAAAAGGTAATCCCTAAAGCCCTGTGTTAATGATATCTAGAGGTGAGAACTTTGGGAGGTGACGCCAACTTGGATTCATGGATCCTCAAGAGTATTCTGTTAGAGAACCTGGCTCTCCTTAGTATGCTTGCTTTGACCTTCTCACATGCCAGCACTTCATGTTTGGTTTCCTAGACTCCAGAACACGAGGTAGCTAAACTGCTATCCAGTATAAATGACATGGCTGCAGGGATCTGGTTTTAGAAACACAAGGCAGGCTAAGCAGCTGAGCTGTGCTGCTGTGACCTCTCCTGGTCTTCTCTGTGACTTAAGGTCTTTGAAGATCGATGCTTGCAAAGCATCAAAAGGGGACAGCCAAGCAAGTACTAATAAGGGTAACTATTTGGTCTGTGAAACCCTTCTGTTCATGTCCACTTGGACTTGTTTTCCAACACTGTTTTAAGTCCTTGAAAGGAGAGAATATTCCTGGTATCTGTTTTGGATCCTCCGCACAATTCTGGAAGTCCCTGATTTAAAACTTCAGCTCTGACCTTTCCCTTGGGGCCCAGTGGCCTTTTCAACAGCTCCACTCTGCTATCTGTTATTTACATAACACAGTGTAAAAAGAACTCACTGTTCCTCCTATTTCCAGACCTGCACCTCTCTATGTTGTCTCATCTCCTAATCATCACCACAATTTGTCCAGTTCTCATGCAAAAAGCTAAGGAGTTAGGGGTGTGTGTGTGTGTGTGTGTGTGTGTGTGTGTGTGTGTGTGTGTGTGTCTTTGTGTGTTTCTCTCTGTGTGTGTGCTCCTTGTGTGTCTGTGTCTGTGTATATTTGTGTTTATGTGTGTCTGTCTGTATGTATGTGTGTCTATGTATGTATGTATGTATGTATGTATGTATGTATGTGTATATGTGTATGTATCTATGCTGTATGTGTGTCTATGTATGTATGTATGTATGTATGTATGTGTATATGTGTATGTATCTATGTGTGTATATGTGTCTTTGTGTGTCTGTGTGTATTTGTGTTTATGTGTGTCTGTCTGTCTGTATGTATGTATGTATGTGTATGTGTGTATGTATCTATGTGTGTATATGTGTCTTTGTGTGTCTCTGTGTATGTGTGTTTTTGAGTGTCTCTCTGTGTGTGTGTGTGTATATGTGTGCCTGTGTGTGTGTGTGTGTGTGTGTGTGTGTGTGTGTGTGTGTGTATATGTGGGCCTATGTGTGTGTATGTGTGTGTGTGTGCAGATTAGACATAGCTTAGCTTCTGTATGCTGGGCAGTTAGTTTCCCATGAGCTTGCAGAACCAACCCAGGAGGTAGATTTGATTTTTCTCTTTACACCACTGCTCCCACCCCCATTTCCCCATCAGTAATGTCCATCGCTTCCACTTTCAAAACATATTCCAGATCTGTTTGCTTCTTCCTCTTCTTCTCTGTTGTTACTAATGAAAGCTCCCAGAAACTTACCATAGATAAACCATTAGCTTCAAAACTGTTCTCTCTGTTTTTGTCTTTATGACCACCATTAACCTTTTCACACACACAACCAGGGTGACCCTTTAAACAAAGTTCATGTCACATAATTGTCCTGCGCCCCCCAAACCTCTTCATGTCCATTGTCTTAGTTAGGTTTCTATTGCCATGACAGAATAGCAAAACCAAAAACAACTTGGGTAGGAAAGGGTTTATTTCATATTATACTTCAAGTAACAACTCATTAGTGAATGACATCAGGGCAGAAACCTGAAGGCAGGGTTTGGCTTTTTAAAAAAAAGCCATGGAGGACCACTGCTTACTGGCTTGCTCTGAATGCTTTTTAAATACACCCCAGGCCACCTGCCCAGAGGTGGCACTGTCCACAGTGGGCTGGACCTTTCCACACCAATCAACAATTAAGAAAATGCAGCCAGGTGGTGGCACACGGCTTTAATCCCAGCACTCTGGAGGCAGAGGCAGGCAGATCTCTGTGGGTTTGAGGCCAACCTGGTCTATAAAGTGAGGTCCAATACAGCCAAGGCTTCACAGAGAAACCCTGTCTCAGAAAACAAACACATAAATAGAAAATGTCCCACAGGTTTGCCTGCATGCCAATCTGACAGAGGTATTTTCTCAGTTGAAATCCCTCTTCTTAACTAACTATATAGCTTGCGTGAAGTTGATAACAAACAAACAAACTAGGCCATTGTCTACCACAAAGAGACCATCAAGCGGTAACAGATCCATCTTTAGAGCTATGCTGCATAGACCCAAGTGCAGTGGTTAACAGTGTGTGTCCTCTTGCATGAGTTTTGTAACTTTTGTCTGACTCGGTTTTCTCATCTTTGAGTTCAGGTTGATTAGTAACATTAGCTGTGTGAAGATTGAATGTTACCACACAAGCATCTGAGACAGTACTAAAACACATCTAGGCTCACAGAGCCTCGGTCTTCTGACCTCATTGTGATGGCTTGAAGGCTCTCAGTGTTGCCTCCTTCTCAGACTTTCTCCCTCCTGACCACTGTGCTTTGGAAATGTCTCTTCAGATTCTTGTGTAGAGAAGTCCTCATCCTTCAGGTGTCTGGTCACTGCCCCCACCCAAGTTTTTGCCTTGGGACCTTGAACTCATGATCCTTCAGCCTCTACTTCCTAAGTACTAGGATTACAGGTGTGTGTTAGCACTCCTGTCTGGTGCCACCTTCTCACGGAGACCTTTCTGACCCTCTTTGCTAGTCCCATGTCTTAGGGTATATTATGTTGATATAACAGAATATCAGCCCAGGGAATTTATAATGAATAGAAATATATTGGTTCATAGTTCTAGAAACTGTGGGCAGCATCTTATGAGGGCCTTCATGCTGTGACATCTCATGCAGGAATGAAGAGATTGACTGAGTGAGAAAGGTAAAAGAGAGCTGAATTTATTTTTGTTGTTGTTTATTTTTAGAATAACCCATGAACTCATTTTATACTGAGGGTGACCTGCAACTTCCAAGTGATTCCAGGTTTTTACTATCACACCCAGCTCTAAACTCATTTTTTAAACTTTAAAATTTAAAGGAAATAATCCACTCAGGGAGGACCCCATAGAATAGCATTAATTCACTCATTGGACAGAACCTCATAGCTCAATCACTTCTTTTTTTTTTTTTCTGGAGACAGGATCTTTTTATATAGCTCTGGCCATATGGAACTCACTATATAGACTACTATATGGCTACTCTCAAACTCACAGAGATCCTCCTGCCTCTGCCTCCTGAGTGCTGGGATTAAAGGTGTGTGTCACCACTCCCAGCTCCCTAATTGCCTGTGAAAGTCCTACACCTTAATTTCATTATAGGAAGTAACAGGTTTCCAACGGGCTTTTGAGAAGCACATTCAAGGCAAAGTACTTCTGCCAGTTGTGGTGGCACACACCTATATTCCCAGCACTTGGGAGGCAGAAGTAGGCAGAGCTCTGAGTTCAAGGCTAGTCTGGTCTATATATCAAATTCCGGAACAGCTAGGTCTACTTCGTGAGACCTTGCCTAAAAACGACAATGCCTCAAACCCCAAAACATGCAGTGCTCCTGACTCCCACCTCCTCCTCTAGTTTTTATGTGGTAATCTTTGTACTTATCCAAGATATTATTTATTGATTTATTATTCATGTCTTTCCCTGAAATGCAAGCTTTAGAGACAGACTCTGTTGTTGTTGTTGTTGTTGTTGGTGGTGGTGGTGTGTGTGTGTGTGTGGTTTTAGAGACAGACTCTGTTGTTGTTGTTGTTGTTGTTGTTGGTGGTGGTGGTGGTGGTGGTGGTGTGTGTGTGTGTGTGTGTGTGTGTGTGTGTGTGTGTGTGTGTGTGTGTGTGTACTCCTCAGGCCCTTGACCATGCTGAATGAGCATTTGATCACATTTGTTGAACCCCCGTCTCTCCTGGTGTTCTGGAGCAGGTTACCCTTCCTTGTGTCTCAGTATTGACCCCCCCCCTCACTGAAGAGTTCTTTGTTTTTCTCTCCACAGACCGCTATAGCTCTGAACAACAGTTCGTGGACGATTTGAAGAACATGTGGTTTGGGCTCTACTCAAGAGGCAGTGAAGAGAGGGATTCGAGTGGCTTTGAACATGTCTTCTCAGGTAGGCTCACTCTGCTTGGCAGAGAAGTGTGGGAGGGACAAAGATGAAGGAGAACGGTACTGCTTAGAGGCTGGACAGCCCTGAGCATTGGTTACAGGCAGTCAAGCCACCTGGCAGGGAGGGACTCCCAGGGCAAGTAAGAGGATATCTGAGGGATGACAGTCTCTCTAGAATATCTAAGAGGGACGGAAAACCAGTCCTGGTGCTTCCAGGGTTCCATCTAGTATGCCTAAGTGTTCGCTGGCCTGTCTGCCTCAGAGTGGTCCTCTGCTTCCATGTCTTGGTTAGGGGCTGCCTACAGAGGCTATTGTGTTCACTCATCCTTAAGATTCCCACTGAGCCTGGATTGATCTTGTGGAAACAGAGGAGTATGCCAGAGCAGAGGACTATCTAGGAGAATGGAGTCTCCTGAGTCTCTTGAGCCCAAAAGAGAGAACAGTCATATGAGGGTGTCAGGCAAGGGTCTGAGTAACCCACTAAATAGTTCAGAAGTTAGATAGACCTGGAGATAGGAAACAGGCTTGGCATGGAATGGAGGGGAGAGGGATGGGAAGACAGCCCAGACCACCAACTTTGGATTCTATTACAGGCGAAGTGAAAAAGGGCAAGGTCACTGGCTTTCACAACTGGATCCGCTTCTACCTGCAGGAGAAGGAGGGTCTGCTTGACTATTACAGTCACAACTACGATGGGCCTGTGAGTGCCTGGGCGGTAGGGGCCTTGTAGGTGCCCAAACTTACTGCTCTTCCTCTGGCTTCCAAGCAGTCAGTCTTGCTTCTCATTCTGGCTCTCCACAGCCACCCAGCAGGGACTATGGATAGATACCATGCCCTTATCTCCTAGAGAGCAAGTTTCTACCCCAAGTCCCAACAGTGAAACCTCCAAAACAGGAGCCAGAGGGTACTACATCCAGGTGGGAGGCCAAGGCCCAATTCTTAGACCAGAAAACAAAGCATGCATTTCCCCCTGCCTGAACATCCTCAGAGGGTGGCAGCAATGTCCACCCTGGCTAACTGAGCTCAATTCCACATGTCTCCTGAGAAACTTTGGCTGCCCTTTACTGGGAAATGATTTTGGGCAATAACCTGGCCTCATACGTGTGGAGGGCCATAGGGGACAGCTGTGTCCCTGCATTCTGGGTTGATCATGTGGATGTCACTCTGGCCTCATTGCCACTGGTAGCTTCAGACAGTGGATCTGAGTAGGACTGAGACACTGAACGGTACGCTGTCCCTTTTGTCTGTTTAAAGAAGTTAGTATCTCCAGAAGGCTCCTCAAAGACCCTCCTAAATACTAACAGACAGTTGGTTCCTGGTTCTATCATGTGACCTTTGCTGTCCTTTCTTCTGCAGTGGGATTCCTACCCAGATGTCCTAGCTATGCAGTTCAATTGGGATGGCTACTACAAGGAAGTGGGCTCAGCTTTCATTGGCAGCAGCCCCGAGTTTGAGTTTGCCCTTTACTCCCTGTGCTTCATCACCAGGCCAGGCAGAAAGTAAGTATTGGGGTGACCAAGGGGATCAGGCAGTAGGGGAGTCTCCAACTATTGTCATCTAGGATGACGTCGGGAGAACTTGAGTCTGCCACTCTGGCTGAGAAGGTCGGGGAAATGATTGTTCTTACCTTCGACAGTGAAGTGGTTAGATTAGATTGGTAGCTTCCAGTTTTCTAAGCAGCAGAACCATCTATCTCCCTTACTTCCTCAAGTGAAGCATTTAGGATAATAATCTACCAAGAAGTCAGCAGTGTACTTGTTCTGGATCCCTGAGTGTGCCCCACCCTCCCATTGGCTGTTTTGGAGAACCACAGAGTCCCAAAGAGAACACTTGATAATAACTGGCCTCCTCATTTGAGAATTTGTTTGGGTCCTAATGCTTTTTGTTTTTACTTTGTGTGTGTGTGTGTGTGTGTGTGTGTGTGTGTGTTGGTGGGGGTTCTGTTTCACTATGTAGCCAGGGTTAGAGGGCCTCTTGCCTCACAGCCTCTTGAGTGCTGCTGAGGTCCAGAGAGGTCCAGATCGGGAAAACTTGCTAACATAGGGAGTTTGGGTAGAGTCTGTCTGGGAGGATGAAACCCTTCTGCTGCGGATGGCTAGGTCTTTCCCATCTGGAATGGGGTGGGCAAAGCGGTGGGCTCTGCTGATTCAATATGGTCTTTCTCTACAGGTGCCACTTGAGCCTGGGTGGTTATCCTTTGTCCATCCAGACCTACACCTGGGATAAGACCACCTATGGAAATGGCAAGAAGTACATTGCCACAGCCTACATAGTGTCTTCTACCCAATAGAGCTTGCATGCAGATGGGTTATGAGGGCAGAGGGTCAAGCTGGGTTCAGGTGCTAGTTGCTCTGTACTGGGGAGGGGAGGAAGGAGCCTGAGAAGAACCCCAAAGCCCAGTTTTATGAAAGAGATCTCAAATCTAGAAATGCCCATGTGGGAGGAAAAAAAATACAATTAGGAAAAAATGTAGAAAATCAGCCAAATCTTTGTCTTCTATTTTAGCAACATGAACTAGGAAATAGAGGCCCTCTGCCTGGAAAAGGTATCAGCCCTGGAGAGTTCTTTAAAGCATAGTGGGGCCATGAGCAAGTCCTTGGCCTCACATTTCCCTATAATGTGAAGGGGAGGGGTCTTTCCCCTTTCCTGCTTGGGGTTTGGGGAGAAGGTGACTCAGACAGTATTATGACTGTGACGGCATCTTTGGTTGTTCGTAAGAAGAACAGGGGGTAGAAATTTGGGATTTCCAAACAGCTGTCACTGCTCACAGCTCTGCAGCTGACTCAGCCTTGTGCTGGGCCCCAAGGAAGTGGGCCTTAGACCAAAGCAGAAGAGTCTTGGAGAATCAAATCTGTGACAGTGAAGTCAGGGGTTGGGCTGTAAGTGGGCTAGGGCAGGTGGCCCCTTGATCCTAGATGTCTGTGTGGCCACCTCAGCCACACACTTCTAGAAGTTTCCTGCTTGCAGATGTTTAGTGCAGTTGCAGACATGTTTTGATCCCACATAATGCTTTGCTTTGCTTCGAAAGAATACCCCTCACAGGAGGAAGACTGAACCTCAAAGGAACAAAGGAAACTATAACTTGGTGTCACTGAAAATTATATTAATGTTTTTCCAGCTGCCATAATTCGAAACATTCTAGACTTGTAGAAGAGGGACCCTGGGGTTCCTATTTCAATTTCTATGATGCCCCCCTGATGCTCAGAAGCCAGATGTGGCCCCACAGAGCCAGGCTTGTACCACAGCTTAGAGGCATCGAGTTTCCAATTAAAGTCACTGGAGAAAACCTGAAATGTGTTTCATCCTTGTATACATTGACCCTGACTGTCAGTCTCCTGGCCTCCTCTCTGGAGCAGGAATGGAGGTCTTTGCAGCCTGGCTCACAGAATGTGGGGTCTGGGTGAAGCCCCTGACGGTCGGCAAGTCTCTGTAACCAGGAGGAAGAAAGAATTCCTCCTGGTACACCTGTAACATAACAAAGAGCATCACATGTGGGGTGTGAGGAAGGAATGGAGACTGGTGGCTTCAGCCTCAGCCTCAGCCTCAGCCTCAGCCTCAGCCTCAGCCTCAGCACACACACAGTCTCCTTGATCACACACACAGCTCCTGTGACTACAGAGGCTGAAGGAAGAGGATGTACCAGAGTGATTTCTCACAGATCATTTAGGCCACAATTTGAGGAAGATATCAGGCAGGACTAACTCCTGGGAGGTACAGCACTTAGATGGATGAATCAGGGCTTTGTTCTGCCCTTTGCATGAGTGTTATTGGTCCAGCAGGCAAGAGAAGGGTTAGCAGTGGTCAAGGTATAGATACTGAAGTCAGGCTGCATGTTGTCTAGCCAGGGTAAATTTCTTGTTTATATCAGTGTCTTTAACAGTAACATGAGGAAGCTGCTAATTATCAAGGTGAAATTAGCATTGTAAAAATAACATGCCATTTTCCTTGGCCTGCCTGTCTTTCTTTCCTCCCTCCCTCCCTCCCTCCCTCCTTCAACATTTTAAGCTTTACTTTTGTTTTCTGTATCTCAGTGTTTGCCTACAAGTGTCTGTGTGCAATACCGGCAGAGGCCAGAAGAGGGCATCAGATACCTTGGGACTGGAGTTACAGACAGTTGTGAGCTGCCATGTGGGTGCTAGGAATTGAACCCAGGTCCTCTGGAAGAGCAGTCAGTGCTCTTAACCTCTGAGCCATCTCTCCAGCCCCGCCACCATACTTTTCAAAATGTTATTTTATTTGTAAATATTTTTCCTGAATGTATGCCTGCTTGGGTGCCTGTGGAGCCCAGAGGAGGGTGTTTGATCTCTTGGAATAGGAGTTACAGGCGGTTGTGAGTTCCACCCTCATGCAGGTCCAGGAACTAAACCCAGGTCATTTCAAAAGCAGCAAGAACTCTTAACTGCTGAGCCGTCTCTCCAGCCCATGTTTATTATCCCTGTTTGTCTGACTTATGCTCATTTTACTTTGCACTGGGAGAGGCAATTCACCTTCCCTAGATTAACTTTAACTTCCACCCAGTGATCCCTAACACTCTTGATTCTTACTCTTCTCTTTAAAAGTCTTCTTGGTAGACACCAGAGAGACAGAAAGACACCAGAAGCTAGTGTATCACAGTGTCTAGACCTAAACTTTGCAGGAGGCAGGGGTGAAGTAGCATTTGTTAAGATCTTAGTATGTCTCAGGCTATGATCAACAGTATTTTTACAGACAATGTCTCAATTAGAAGAGATTTTAAAAAAAGATGGGTATTATTTTTGTTTATATGTATGTGTTTGTATCTGTGTGAGCGAATGCCACTCATGTGCAAGGGAGTTGGAATTACAGATAGTTGTAAGTTGCTCAGTATGGATGTGGGTGCTTGGAACAGAACTCTGGTTCTCTCAGAGAGCAGTGTCTTAGGGTTTCTATTGCTGTGAAGAGACACTCTGACCATGACAACTCTTATAAGGGAAAATGTTTAATTGGGATGACTTATAATTTTAGATGTTTAGTCCATTATCATCATGGTGGGACATAGTGGAATACAGGCAGACATGGTTCTGGAGAAGTAGCTGAGAGTTCTATATCCTGATCCATAGGCAACAGGAAGTGAACTGTGACACTGGGTGTAATTTGAGCATAGGAGACCTTAAAGCCCACCTCCACAGTGATATACTTCCTCCAATGGGCCATACCTACTCCAACAAAGCCACAACTCCTAATAGTGCCACTCCTTTTGGGGGGGGCATTTTCTTTCAAGCCACCACAAGCAGTAAGCATTCTTAACTGCTAAGCCATCTGTCCATCACCTATGGATGCACTGTTAGAAAACAGAGGGTTGTATTATTATTTTTATCCCTTCCTGCTTGCTTGATTTGTAGACAATATTGTGGAGCTTGAGATTGTACTGTGAGAAAAAGCTGTGTGCTCACTAGAGAGCAGGGATTTAGTAGGACTCTATGTCTCACACTGGTTATCATACCAGTCTTGGATTGTTTATACTTGGTCTTATATAAAAGAGAAATAGCAGAGCTGAAGAGCTGGCTCATCAGTCAAGAATACTTGCTGCTCTTGCAGAGGTCCTGGGTTCAGCACCCACACCAGATGACTCATAAGCACTGTAACTCCAGTTCCAGTGGGATCTGATACCCTTTTCTGGCCTCCACAGGCACCAGACATTCATATGGCACACATATATACATGCAGGCACTCAATACAGACATTGGAAAATAAATGTTTTTAAAAAGTAAGAGAGAAATAGCTCCTGTTGTGTTTAAGGTACTTTGACTTCAGGCTTTCTTTCACACACAACTGAGTGGTATACAGAGTCCCAAGGCTCACACGTCTTTGTAAACATGGGTGTTTCATCCCTACAGCCCTAGCTAGTACTTGGGAGGCCAGAGTCTGTGTGAGCGAATGCCATGTATGTGCATCAATGATGTAGGAAGATCCTGAGTTTAAGATTTGTCTGGATAGAGAGTAAGTTTCAGGCAAGCCTGGGTTACATAGTGTCCTGAAAAAGAAACAAATGAAAATAAAAATTAAAAAAAAACAACCAACAAAGAAGTTACTTAATTAATAACACTTTTTTTTTGGTTTGCTTGTTTTTCAAGCCAGGGTTTCTTTGTTTAAAGCCAGTCCTGGCTGTCCTGGAACTCACTCTGTAGACCAGGCTGGTCTTGAACTCACAGAGATCCACCTGCCTCTGCCTCCAGAGTGCTGGGATTAAAAGCATGCTCTACCACTGCCTGGCTTAATAACCCCTTTCTTAAGACTCATAATGGTTGTAGAATCCTTCCATGCTTAACTGAAAGAGCTCAATTATTGGGATACGAAATTAATAGCATTTGCAATAGTCATTGCAGCATTTCACCTTTGCAGTAATAAATGTATGCTTATTTCCACTGACCATTACAATTTCAACATATAAAGCACATATAGAGATTGTTTCTTTGAAAATAACTATTTAGAGATTAACAATAAATTCAATTGAGATGACTGGAGTTCATTCACAGAAAAATAAATAAATAAAAAAGACACAGTTTTCCAGTTTTATAGAAGCCCATTTAAAGATAGTAAATAGAAGTGGACAGGCATGCCATCTAAAGAGAAACTGGTCATGTCTGTCATAGTGGGACAATGGTGCCTCAAAATTAGGAAGCAATGACCATGGAGATCATTCAGTTACAATTAGTGTTTCTCCTTTTGATAGTATTCAGCACATACATGGAGGGGGGTGTTGTTGATTTTTCTTACTCTTTTGGGACTCACTACACAGCTCCCAAATAAGTACACAGAGACTTATTCTTACTTATGAATGCCCAACTTGTCAGCTTAGCTTGTTTCTAGCCAGCTTTGCTAACTTAAATTATCCTGTCTACCTTTTGCCTCTGGGCTTTTACCTTTCTTTATTCTATATGCCTTTCTTTACTTCTTACTCTGTGGCTGGCCCCTGGCATCTTCCTCTCCTCCTTTTCTCGTTTCTCCCCTTTTCTTCTCTCCTATTTATTATCTCTGTATGCCAGCCTTGCCTATCCTCTCTCTCCTGTCTTGCTATTGGCTATTCAGCTCTTTATTAGAGCAATCAGGTGTTTTAGGCAGGCAAAGTAACACAGCTTTACAGTGTTACTTTGCCTGCAGCATAAAAAATGCAGCATAAAAGAATGCAACGTATCTTTGCATCACTAAACAAATAGTCCACAGCATAAACAAATGTAACACATCTTAAGCTAATATTCCACAAGGGGGGGAGGAGAAGAAGGGGAGATTGCTATGGAATTTTCCTGGAGCAACTGACTGGCCCTGTTGTCGACTTTCAATCGACTGCCCAAAATTAATAAAACAAATACAGTTGCTTTCCTAAGAACACTGATATCAGGCTGGAGAGATGGCTCAGAGGTTAAGAGCACTGGCTGCTCTTCCAAAGGTCCTGAGTTCAATTCCCAGCACCCACAAGGTGGCTCACAACCATCTATAGTGAGATCTGCTGACCTCTTCTGGTGTGCAAGCAGGCAGAACACTGTATACATAGTAAATAAATAAATCTTAAAAATGAACACCAATATCTATTTTAAATAGATTCATTATTAATTTAAACATATAAAGATTATTTAAAGTTTTTATTTATTTTTAATTAATTAGTTATTTTTGGTCGGAGTGCTATCTCCATGTATGCCTGAAGGGCAGAAGAGGGCACCAGATCTCACTATAGATGGTTGTGAGCCACCATGTGGTTACTGGGAATTGAATTCAGGACCTCTGGAAGAGCAATCAGTGCTCTTAACCTCTGAGCCATTTCTTCAGCCCTGTGATTTTTTAATTTTTACAAATATTTTTAATTTTATGCATATCAGCATTTTGCTTACATGTATGTCTGTGTATGATGTGTGTGCCTGGTACCCAGGATGTTGGTTCTCCAGGAATCAGAGTTACAGTTGTGAGTCACCTATGGGAATCAATTCCAGATCCTCTGGAAGAACAGCCAGCACTCTTAACTGCTAAGCCATCTCTCTAGCTCTATTTTTATTTTTTAGGCTGGGTATCACCACAAGGCTCTGGTTGACCTGGAATTTGCTATGTAGACTCTGAACTCATAGAGATCCACTTGCTTCTGCCTCCCAAATGCTAAGATGATAGGTGTACCATCATTCCAGGCACACTAAGATTGTTTTAAAAGCTAGTTTTCCCTACTATGGCTCCTGCTTGTTGTGGTGTTGTACACACAGTAGGATATGCTGAAGAGGCAGGAGAACTATGAGTTCAAGGCCAGTCTTGGTCACACTTTGCTAATAGCCAGT